ATCTAGGTACACCCCAGTTTGAGGGGACGCTGCCTTCAAGGCGCAGCTAAGGAGCGCGGTATATAAGGCTGCGCGCGAGAGCAGCCTTCGCCATTTCGACCTTCGTTTACATTATTGACTATCTTTGCATAGTACTTGGCTACGTCCCGGGCAGTCCCGCAGTTGAGGATTTTGTGTTGAGCGATTAAGCCTTTTAGAATCTTGTGGATTGAACGCGTAGCGCGAGGAATTCTTGAAGTTTGTAGCCGAACATTGTTGCGGTAGTTGAGCTGGTGAGTGTGCCGTTCTATGGAACTGGGTCTCTTACGGCCGACTCTGAGGAGGAGCCCAGAAATCCTTGAATTGAGCCTCTTGTACAGCGGCATCGAGAAACTGCCGCTCGTCCCTTGATGCCGTTGCATCTTTATTTACCCATTTAAAGTGGGATCCTCGTCGTTTTATACTAATTTTTTGTTATTTGTATCTTGTATTTGTTGTCAGTGTATAAACTCACTTGAACTAGTGGTATTTTCGTACGGGTTAGTCGCCTTGGTGACCGCGTTAAGTGGACGCGCCGTAAGGACCCCCATCGGTCTCGCAGATGCATGATTGTCCCACGTTTTGGGATTAGTTTGTACGGGCAGTAGAGCAGGGCTAGGAGGTGCGAGCCTATCAAGCCGCTACACCGAGGAGTCGGGAAGTTTTGAAAATTACTATCATGAACGTACGCGATTTACTTGTTTTCACTGTAAACAATGAAAAAATTTTGAAAAATTTTGAACATTCAAAGCAGCATTGTAAAAAAGCTTTTTTGCGTTTTGCCCTTACTAATGCTTGCATATATCCTCTCAAACAAATCAACTTTGGTCATTCTATATCACAGCACTAGTAAAACTTTACGGGGTTGTTAAAAGAATGGTGAGGTAATTTTAGGCTTTCCGCTGATCAGAACAACCCCATCCACTTCGGCTTCCCCAAGCCGATGTGCTAGTCCTTCGCCTGCGTTTGCTCTCCACGAGCCTCACGCGCCGATTATCACTCGTCCCATAACTGGAGCCACTGTAAACATCGGTAAGTGGTTTTTACAAGTTTTCCTAGGCCTTCCAGAGGGAATGACAAAAGGCAATAAATGGTAGCGTGCTTCTAGGATGCCGAGAGCTATTAGAATTGGAAGTGAATGGTAATCCCACACCAACAGTAGAATGGTACCATGACGGAAAACTTGTTGCACAAAGTCGAACACTTCGAACTTATTTCGATGGACGAGTCGCTTTTCTTAAGATTTACAGAGCACAAATGGAGCATGCCGGACTTTATGTGTGCAAGGTATGGTCTCTGTTTCACTTTTGGCCGATAATGTAAAATGTTGTTCAAGGTCTCCAATAGACTGGGAACCGTGGAAACAAGTGCCTATTTGAGAGTTGAAGACGAATTTTCTACCCATGTTACTAAAATGCCACAATTTATAAGAAAGCTGGAAGATATCGCAGTTGAAGAGGTGAGCTT